TTTTAATATTGTGTAGTGCAACTCTAAACTGGGCACTCGGGTATGAATTTATGTTACATCCTTAAACCAAATAGCTTTCGTTTATATTTCAGTAATTTTCTAACTAGAATAGTTACTCAAACATACAGGTATAGTAATTTCATTTTTTAGTATTATTCGACTGGATTTGAACCCGCGATCTGGCGCACATCAGGCTAGTGCTCTACCAACTGAGTTAAAGGGGTAACCCTTAGCAAACTTTGAACATACTACTACTACATATGTTCCAGAGAGCACCTTATGTCAATACACTTTGATCTGAGCAACTAGGTCGAAGGCATGTAAAAAGTAGTGTTGAAAATTTATAAGGGTCGTAGCTTCTGGTACTTACACCACTCACTTCTTAGTACGTATTGACGTGAACCAACAACCAGCATAGGTTTCGCACCTACTTTTCTCCGCAGCTTGTGCTGGAAATTCTGTTTTGAAGCAACTTTAACCAGCCTATAATCATACTGGTAATTAGTTAGCCCCAATATTTCTTTCATTTGAAAAGTGAACGAGGAAACTCTGCTCTGACCCTACGCAGCAATCCAGACCGGAACTGGGCGGTTTCTTAATTATGGAACAATTATTGTGAACAGTTACTCAAAGCTGTTCTAGAACACATCGATCGTCAAACTGATACTGTATATCACTAAGATTGAGCTGCAGTCAAATGTCAAGCTGATAAATATTATCACCACAGTATGATATTCTTTACAGATATTTCCACATTGCAGTACTTTTTCGTGATTGGTCAGGTACAAGGCGAATGTATATATTGTGAATGCAGTTTTGGCACCCTCACAACTGATTCATTCCAGCTTTTGAGGGCAGTCCATTTTGTGATGTGAAACAAACACACTTTCACAACAGGTTCGTTCCAGCTTTTGAGGACAGTCCATTTTGTGATGTGAAATAAACACACTTTCACAACAGGTTCGTTCCAGCTTTTGAGGACAGTCCATTTTGTGATGTGAAACAAACACACTTTCACAACAGGTTCGTTCCAGCTTTTGAGGACAGTCCATTTTGTGAT